GGCTCCCCACTTATGCAAATGAAGCCTGGGAAATTCAAATCCCGGGCTTCATTTGCAAGTGCGGTATGCCTACATTACCCTCCTAGTTCGAACTAGGAGGGTAGTGTAGACATACCCAGAGGGACCTGTTGTGTGTAGTAGTAGGTATAGAAATCATTGGGATAAACTGGGGGGGCTATGTCTAGACTGGCATGATTTTCTGGAAATGCTTTTAACAGAAAACTTTTCAGTTAAAAGCATTTTTGGAACAGAGCGTCTAGATTGGCATGGACGCTTTTCCGCAAAAGCACTTTCTGCAGAAAAGCGTCCATGCCAATCTAGACACGCTTTTCTGCAAAAAAGCCCTGATTGCCATTTTCGCGATCGGGGCTTTTTTGCGGAAAACAAATCTGGGCTGTCTACACTGACCCTTTTGCACAAAAGTACTTTTGGCCGAACGGGAGCAGCATAGTATTTCCGCAAGAACACTGACAATCTTACATGAGTGGCTGATTTTCCAGAAAAACTGGCCAGTCTAGACACAGCCGGGCTGTAAATTTTGAGCAAGCCCAGGGGATTACAGCTGGGTTGATAAGGAATTCTTAAATGCTCAGTTTCTAAAATCAAAATAGTTAAATTACGCAGCACTCCCCATAAGTGCACGTAGCTAGCCTGTGTAATATGCAGTGGATTTACCAGTACCTTCATTTTCCTTCTCTTTTATAGTTACCCTCATTTTGTGTTTTTAATTAGACCAAGTTCTCTGAACGAAGGACTGTATTAAATTTTCCAGTGCAATCAAGCCTTTGACTGCTAGTGTAGTACAAATGTAAACAACATTGGTAATACTGAATTGCTGACAACTTTGGGAAGTCCTGTCATGTGCTAATTATTATAGCAGAATGGAATTGATTTGTTTCCAAAATCACAACAGTAAAGGTACTATAAAAAATACTAGATTTGTAATAAAATCCTAGTATTGAACACATATTCTCTCAAACAAAAAGAATCAAAAGCAATTGGCAGCAAAGATGTACAGCAGTCTTTGTTTCTACTTCATGTACAAAAGGTACTGAAAGAAGTGACCTCTGTTTACCCTGTTTTGCATTTTAGCATCAGAGCAAAAACTCCACTGTTTTTTATAAACATTAAATGCATAAAACAAAAAATAATTTTCTTTAATATTTATAATGAAATCTGTAATAAGGACCAACTGTAGTAGGCAACATCCTACCGTACTTTAAAATATCCCAAAGTCTCCAAATAACTCTTGCTTTACTAAGGTCTACCTTGTTAGTTGCTGGAATGGTCACATAAAGCAGATTTCTTAGACTGTTTACAGAGAGCTAATGTGTGTACATCTTCCTGAGCTGAAGGTGTAATTCCTAGCTCAGAGAAGCGCACATGCTCTGTTTGAAAATATCACTGCAGCTGGGTGGCACAGGCAATGGTTCAGGCTAGCCTCTTGTGAACCAATGCATCTGAGATCCTAGGAATGTACTTGGGACAGCTAGGCTGAGTCACTGCCCTTGCTGTCCCCACATACCATGCTGTATTTTTAGCATGCTGTCTTGACCAGAGCTAGCAAGCATATGTCTTCCTGAATTCAGAATCACATTTCTCAGCTGATTATAGACATGCCATTAGTATTGATATTCATTTATACAGTGGGCCAGATTCTTCTATAGCCAAGGCCTTCTCTGCATAGGTCAATTGAACTGGATTAACTTAAATTGTTTTTTAAACTAATATAGTTGAACCAATGCAAACTCACATGTGGACACTCTATTCCGGGTGGCTTATTTTGATTTAACATAAACCAATTCCCAGTTGAATTAAGTTACATTGAAAAAAGACAAACATGTGTCTATATACAGGAATTTACACTTGTTTAACTAGATCAGTCTGAATTCACACCTTAGGTTATTCTAGTGCTACTTTGCTATGGAGACAAGACCTTGCATTGGTGTACCTCAAGAGTAAAGCTGTAAAATTAAGTGCAGTAAATGAGGTAAATAAAATATAAAGAAATAAGATTAGAAGTAGGACCAAAAACTTTTCCATTTTACTCAAGATATGACCCTTTTCCTCCACAGCTTGCACTCTGTCTACTTTGCAGTCGCTGCGGTCACTGCAGGGCTTTGAGTCTCTTGGTGAATTAGGGATAGTTCCCTCTGCAGTCACTGTTAATTAATCCACACTAGACTACTAGTGTGGCTGCCCCTGTGGGTATGGTGAGCTCTTCCCCCAGAGCTGAAATACCGTAACTCTGTACTGTGCCCTTGTTTCCCCTGGCCTAGAGAGCTGGAACCCTGACGTTGACGTGAATGAGTCTCACGGGGCGGACTCATAGCCACAGCACCTCCAGCTGGGGGCACTGGAGATTAGCTTTTGTCTGCTCACTTGACACCTCCCTCTGACTAGGGTCTCCCTGTGTGCTTGCTTCACTCTCCAGTCCGGACCTACATCACTCTTGAACCACAATGTCCTCTTTAAGACACTGCCCTCTGGCAGTGCCCACTCCACTATCTCTCGACCCCCTTCCAGGGAGTGTTTATCAGTCTCTGCACTCCAGGATCCTCCCCTCCCAGGGAACACCCATTTCCCCTCTAGGGAATACACAGTTCCAGTATACCCTCCTTGCCTCAGTGACCCACTGCCAGTCTTCAGCTAGCCCCTACCTCAGGGGCAAACTGCAGTCTGGAATGGCCACTCAACATTGGCAAAGAGGGTGTGGACCTGCTGCCTTTGCCTACCCTGGCTGGCTCTCTGCAGCCCTCCTGCACTCAGGTTTGGCCTTAGGCCCTGCAGCCTGGGAGTTTGCCTGGCCAGAGCTTCCCCTGCTCTGCCTCCAAGAAGCCTCCTGCTTCCCAAGCAGCCTGCTCTCCAACCAGAGCAAGGGTAAATTTTCCCCTCCACTTCCCAAGCAGCCTGCTCTCCAACCAGAGAAAGGGTAAATTTTCCCCTCCTTCTCCAGGAGTCCTTCGTTATATAGCCCCCAGTTGGGCCTAATTAGCAATAACTGCCTCAGCTGGGGCTTTGCTGGCAGCCCTTGCTCAGGGCTGGGTTTTGCCCTTAAAGGGCCAGTGCAGGACAGACACCCTGTCACAGTGAAGTTGATGGATTTTATTGATCAACCTTGTCTGGATTCTATCTCTGGCTGTTACATCACAACTCCACTTGGTCAAAGCAAAACACGTTCTGCATAACTTCAAGAGAGAAGGCAAATGTACATCTCTCATGTTTGCTGGCTGAGTCTTGATGCCACACTCAGTAACATCAGGGTTTCTGAAAACAAATCACATGAGAATTAAATCAGCCTCCAAATAAAGGACAATATTATAATATCGTTCTGCATGTCAGAAATGTGGCCAGGTAGCAAGAGGTAAAACAAACAGAAATACTATCATTTTGTGCTAGATGCAATCTTTGGAAGGAAAATGTTGCTTGGGAGCAATCTGTGGCCGAAATGTATTGTTAAAGTCAAGACATGGGAGGGAAGGGCTGAGGTTTTGATAATTAATCATTGATTAAACATGACTAGTAGAGGAATTTCAATGTTGTAATGTTTGGACATAATGGTTGTTGAACTTTTTTCAGATAACCTTTTTGTGAGCAAACAGAATGGATTCTATTACCACTCTCAGACTAGCCTGGATAGAGCTCCACATGACTACAATGGCAGAATCCGCAATGGGAGTGTCTACAGTGCACACAGCACAAACTCTTTGAATAACCCACAGCACTACTTGCAGCCATCTCCCATGTCCTCTAACCCAAGCATCACTGGAAGCGATGTCCCAAGACCTGATTACGTTCCGTCACATCGACATAGTGCACTAATACCACCTTCTTATCGGCCTACCCCAGATTATGAAACTGTGATGAGACAGCTTAACAGAGGAATGATACACACAGATAGGCAGAGTCATTCTATGAGAAATCTTAACATCAGCAATTCATATGCCTACAGTAGGCCTGATGCTCTGGTCTACAGCCAACCTGAAATTCGAGAACATGCTCATTTTACCTCCCCCCAGTCTGGTCACTATCCTTTTAACCTGAATTACAGTTTTCATAGCCAGTCTCCCTACCCATACCCTGTTGAACGGCGTCCAGTTGTTGGAGCAGTCAGTGTACCTGAGCTGACAAATGTGCAGCTTCAGGCTCAGGAATACCCAACGCCAAACATCATGAAGACCCAGGTCTATCGACCTCCTCCCCCTTATCCATACCCAAGACCTGCAAACAGTACCCCAGACCTTTCCCGACATCTTTACATTAGCAGCAGCAACCCAGATCTCATCACCCGGCGAGTCCATCATTCTGTCCAGACATTTCAGGAAGACAGTCTGCCTGTTGCACATTCCCTTCAGGAGGTGAGTGAGCCCTTAACATCAGCACACCATGCTCAGCTACAGAAAAGGAACAGTATTGAAATAGCTGGGCTGGCTCACAACTTTGAAGGCATAAGAATTAAAGAGAGGACCATGTCAGCCTCTGCTGCAGATGTGGCCCTTTCCAGGGTCATAGCAGGAGGGTCACAACCTAGTGTTTTTGTGGAAAGAACAAAGCAAGAAGAAACTGAGGAGCAAGAAGGAAGTTTGAACTGTGATCATAAGAAGTCTCTTTCAGATGCCACTATGTTGATTCACAGCAGCGAGGAAGAGGAAGAATTTGAAGAAGAAAACAAAGCTAGTACAACTCTGACTCCTCTCACTGATGACCAGACCCCACTTTCTGCTATTATGAGTGGTTATCCTCATGAATCCTTACTAAGTTACCCCTACAGTTCTGTTGCTTCACCTCCTGGCCCTTTGCATATCCTTGAGCCTAAGTTACATATTTCAGAGCCAGAAAAGAGGATAAAAGATGTGAGCCTGGGACACTTAATGGCTGAAACCCAAGTGCAGAGAAGAGGTGAAGGCTTGCTGACTCCGTCTATGTCAGAATCTGACCTTACGACTTCAGGACGGTACAGAGTGAGAAAGGATTCTCTAAAGAAGAGACCTGTCTCTGACCTTTTGTCAGGAAAGAAAAATATAGTGGAAGGTCTTCCCCCTCTAGGTGTAAGTGGATATTGTTTTTGTCTCCTCTCATAGTGATAGATCTGGTATCATTTGTGTTTTTAAAAATAGTTTTTCAAAGTTTTTGAAGCATAGCAATTTAATGTAGTAACCTTCCTCTCCATGGCATCATAGTGATAGATCTGGTATCATTTGTGCTTTTAAAAATAGTTTTTCAATGTTTTTGAAGCGTAGCAATTTAAGGTAGTAACCTTCCTCTCCATTGCACTCTCTTTCGCTCTGTTTCCTCTCCTTATATGTCTGACCTTTCTCTCTCCCATTTTGTCTTTGTTTCCCTCTCAGTCTGTTCAGCCAGCCTTCCTGCCTCCACCCTTTTGTTAGCCTGTAGCTACTGGGGACTGGCTCTGAGACTTCCTCAGTAGGGTTGCCAAGTGTCCAGTTTTGAACCGGACAGACCGGTATTTGAGCTTTTTGTCTGGGAAACAAATTGAGAAAATTTTGGACATATAAATGTCTGGTATTTTCTAATTAAGTAAGTTTTATTATTATCAGGAGTATCAGTACATAGTTGCATACTGCCTGGCTGTTAGACACGCTCACGCTGCGTGAGCGTTTATTCCAGCTAGGCAGTACGCAACTACGCAAGGGGGGGGAGCGGGACTGGGGCGGGAAGGAATCCCTGGGGCTAGACTCGCTCGTGCTTTGCTGGGACCGTGCACGGGACAGGCAGTGCCCCGGGATCTGCGTGCGCCTGGGTCAGTCCCACTCCTCGCCGGCCAACTCTCT